AGTGACCACGTGTGGCCCAGGCTGGCCTTGAACCTGTAGCGTGAGGTGAGGCTCGGGGAGCCAGCCATCTCCTGTGAAAAGACCTTTCATTTTCCCAGGTCCTTGCCTTCACTCCAGCAAAGAGTGGAGAAGTAGGGCAAGGCTGGCTGAAAGCCTAAACCCTCCAGCAGAAAACAGGAAAGCCAGGACTGGTGGAGGACGAGGGAGTCAGAAACGAAAGTGGTAGACCGGAAGTTTGTGTGTAACACCGAGAATGTGGAAAAGAGCTGCCGGGTAGCAGGACTACAAGGGAAGGAGAACTCCAGCAAGTTTCTCGAAGGTCAGGGGATCACTGTACTCAGAGGGGCACGCTGCCTTCTAAAAACGGCTGTTGTACTGATCAGTATAATCTAGACCACTCAGGGCCTTAGGCTTTACTTCTGGGGCGAGCTAAGGTCGTGGGGTCTAGAGGCACACACCAAATGCACCAAAGGTTTTACAAAGGGCAGTTTCCTCAAGTACATCATGTTAAATAAGCATGTGGTCATTTCTGTAACCATCAGCCACCCAGATCATGACCTATATCCCTGTTTACATTTTCCTCTGTCTCTGCAAACCTATGACAGTCCTCCTGCCTCAGCCTCCCAAGTGCTAGGGTTACAGGTGTATGCCACCACGCCTGGCTTAGACGAAGTGCTTCTATCACATGGACTTCATAAGCCTCTCATGAAGCAGAGTATAATAGCACCAAGAGCCTCAAGAATTATATCTGCTCAAAGTCACTATCAACCGACTATGAATAGGTGAACCTCTGTAGTTGTCTGTATTTTCCTTCACAAACCCTTTTGGAGAGAGTCAAGATACAGATTCATCATGCTGATGTGCAGAGCTCCATCAAGGTTCTTCCGTAAGTTACCTGACCGCCTCCGTTCTTCAGGGTTGAGTCTGTGGCCTGACTCGGGTCTGCCAATTACATGAAAGGCTTTAAGTATTGAAGGGGAGAAAAACTGTCGAGTGTTTGGTTCTTAGCAATCAGCTGAGGCAATTCAACTTGAAGGAAAGAGAATGAAGCTTTGGTTTCAAGCCCAAAAGAAACGCAGCTAATCACAAACCCTCCAACTCCAGGATGGGTCCAGGGACTCGGGGGACGAACAGGCGAGTTCCTAAACCCACTCATGGTTGGACTCTGGGGGGCGGGAAGGTGTTTGTGTGCGCAGAGGGCTGGGGCGGTGGCCTGTGGTAAGGAGAGGAAAGATCTAAAAGGCCTTACCGGTTGCTTTGGCACATACAGGTGTGCTTGGCGTGGAAGTTGTGGAATTATCAGCAATGGAGCCCAATTTCAAGAATCTACTCTGGAGCCGGGCATGGTGGCACTTGCCTGTGATCCCAGCACTCCAGAGGCTGAGGCAGGAGTATTGTTTCGAGTTCAAGACCAGCCTGGGCTACAAAGTGAACTCAAGGCCAGCCTGAATTGCATAGTGAGAACTTGTCTCAAAAAAATTTTAAAAAAATCAGGCGTAGTGGGGTGAGGTGAGGTGAGGCTCGGGGAGCCAGCCATCTCCTGTGAAAAGACCTTGTAATCCCAGCACTCAGGAGGCTGAGGCAGGAGGATTGCTGCAAGTTCAATGTCAGCCTGGGCTACAAAGTGAGCTCAAGGCCAGCCTGAACTGCATAGCGAGATCCTGTCTCAAAAAGACAAAAAAAAAATTACAGAAGAGAAATAAAGTAAAAAAAAAAAAAAAAGAATCTCCTCTGGCCTGGACAAGTGTGACTCACCAAGAGCTTATGCCATCTCTGAGAACCACTCCCAACAGCAGCTACAAATGACAAGGAGGAGGGGACAGCACCTGCCAGCACAGCTGAGTAAAAAATTAACTCAGTTCTTCTGACCAGGAGAAGATAGGCACACTTCCCTTCGGGACTGCTTAAACCCTCAGCGTTTCTGGACAGTACGGTAAGGGAGAAGTGCGACATGCTAATGCCAGCCTGCCCGTGACATGGCCTGTGAGAACTCAGGCCGTTCTGGAGAAAGGAAACAGACCGGTACTTGTACCCACAGTTCTAGAACAGGCACATGCCCGGTGCAGTAGAAGGAACCCTGGACTCTGGGTCCCAAGTCCTTGGTTCTAATTGAACTCTGCCCCTAGCTCATAGTCACATTGTTTAGCCTCTTGGGTTGTAGAGTCGGACAGGATGGGTGGTTCCCCCCATGTTCCCTGTGAGAAGCCAAAACATCCTTATCCTAGAATAGTTGACTGAGAAAACACACACGTGCAAAGTCCACTTAGAAACTTCTTGCCAAGTGGCCGGGGATATAGCTCAGTGGCATAAGCGCCTGCCTGGCAAGCGCAAGGTCCTGAGTTCGATCCCCGGTACCACAAAAAAGAAAAACAAACTTCTTGCCAAAACTCTACCCCCTTGCCATGATTCCGATACCTGCAAATTGCAGGATCTTAAATAGGAAGGCAACAGATGTAAGGGCTAACCAGATCCTTTGCTTACTGCGTAGTAAGTATTACCCTAATGCTTTATAAACACGCTAGTTAATTCTCAGAAGCATTCTGAGGCAGCCTTCCCAGTTTAGAAAGCTGAAGCTGAGAGAAGTCAAATAGCCCATGTGGCAAAAGAGGTGAGGGTTCTGAGATTTAAACTTTAGATCTTTCTCAGAAAGCAAAGTCATAGTCACTACACTTCACTGCTATGGTGTTTCTAGTTCTAACACCCTAAAATCCCACGACCTCCTTTCCTTGCTACTGAGAAAAGGAGAGGTGGAGTGGTGAGAATTTACACAACCTGGGTCAAGTTGGGACTCTACCCTGTTGGTCAGAATGAGTTTGCCCGCCACTGGGGTCGGTTTATGCCTTTCCTACTTACTGAGTCCCTTCTGTGCCAGAAACCCACAACGTGGAATTACAAAGGTGAGTTTGTATCCATCTCTCTCTCAAGAGCTTGTAGTCTGGAAGGTGAAATGCAAACCAGATCCTGAAATCCAGTCGCAGCGCTGAAGTGGAAAGCTGTAATGCATGTCTTTCTGATCCTTTTTAATGGGGACCAACAATCAGGTAGGAGACAAAGCCAAAGACACAGTACTGTCTCTTACCCAGAAATAGGGAAGAGTGACAGCACAGATCATGCGCTCTGCAGCCATGATTTTAAATGTTGTCTCCACCAACATGCTAACCACGTGACTTTGGGTGATATCGCCGGGAACCTCTGTTACTGGCTCCTCTGGAAAACGAGCACAACAGTCCCGACCTGTATTATTTACTTGGGCTACTATGAGAAATTGCCACTTACTCGGTGGCTTAAAATGACAGAAGTTTATTCTTTCATAGTCTTGAAGGCCAGACATCTGTGATCAAGGTGTCAGCAGGGACATGGTCCCTCCCACAGCTCCAGAGGAAAACACTTCCTTCCCTCTTCCAGCTCCTGGCTCCTGGCGCTGGCTTGTGACACTGTAACACAATCCCTGCCTGGTTTTATGTGGTGTTCTCTAGAACCGTGTCTGTGTATGTCACCTTCTCTCTCTTTTACGGACACTATCATTAGATTTAGACTATCCCAACCGCAGGTGCTCTCTTGGTGCTTACTTTAGTTACATCCACAAAAACCATATTTCCAAATAAGGTCCCATCCTGAAATTCCAAGATGACATGAAAGAATTTGCAGGGGCACTATTCAACACCTCTACACTACCTCATAAGACTGAGGAAATAAAGATCATAACACACATGCAGCATTCAGTACAGTGCCTGATACACAATAATAATGCTAGCTATTTACACTGTGTAGACATGCATATATGCATGTGTAAGTTTTCTTATTTACTAGATCTGTCAAAGGTTTATTTCATTATTTCACCAAATGAAATATTAATTTACAGCTTTTTTTACTCTATGTAAGTCTTCTAATTTGCTCACTTCTATTTTGTGATATTTCCTCCCTTTTTCTCTTCTTTGTACTTGTTAATTTTACTTGTACTGTTTTGTCTAAGAATTGCTGGCTGTTCAGACAGAAGATGGATGGATAGATAGATAATAGATGGATAGACAGATAGATGATAGATAGACAGATGATAGGTAGATTGATAGATGATAGAAGATAGATACATAGATACATAGATAGATACATAGATATCATATCATGGGTTGTCTGTGATTATACTAGTGATTTTCCCCAGTGGACTTTGTTTGTTTGGGTTTGGTTTTGGTTGTGGTTTTTGCAATACTAGGGATTGAACTCAGGGCCTTCACACTGAGCTGCTTCCCCGGCCCTTTTTTATTTTTAACTGTGAGGCAGGGTCTCACTAAATCCTTAAGTTTCCTAGGTGGGTCTCAAACTTGCAGTCCTGCTGCCTCAGCCTCCCAGAGTGCTGGGATTATAGGTGTGTGCCACACGTCCAGGTCAAAGTGAGCATTTCATTTTTACTCGGGTTGGTGTTTCACTCATCTTGTAGAAGTGGTTGTGTGTGTGTGTGTGTGTGAGCGACTGAGAATGATTTTCACTGCCACTTATTTATGGTGTCGTACAGACCTTCTAGAAGTAACCTATAGATTCTTACAGGAAAGACACACACTCCCCTCAGAAGGGGTGCTGTTCTGAGTACGTCTCAGCCTCTTCTTACTCACTCTCCCGTCTCCACTCTTTCAGGGCTGTGCTGCATCGCTTGCTCAAGATCCTCTTGTTGGGAAATTCTTGGGGCTCCACCCCTGCCCCAGCTGGAGTGCGATGAATGAGCTGAGCCGGGTCCCCAACAGTACTGGGCGCCCCAGCAGGCCGCACACTGGCTGCTAGCGTTGTCCTGAGGCTGATGATCTGGAGTTGACTGATTAGCGTCCAAGGGGACTCTCAGCTCAAACGGAGCCCCAGGATGGGCTGGCTAAGTGAGACAGGCCCTGGTTGGACCCGGCTGCAAGAACCTGCCTTGACACCAGCAGCCGACCCTCTGGGCTCGCCCAGGCTCTGGGCTGGCAAGGCCCCACCACAGACTTTTAGCAAACAAAACGCAAGCCAGCGACAGGTGGGGGGAGTGTTAGGTTGTTTATTGTGAAGTTAGATTGGCAGCTTGACGAGGTGCTCAGGCCCCAGAAGGCTCTTCTGTAACAGGAATCAAAGAGCGACAGAAGGAAAAGAAAGAGGCTGCCGAGCGCTGGGATACGACCCAGCGGCACAGCGCTGGCCTGGTGTGCCCGAAGCCCTGGGTTGGATCCCCAGCCCTGAAAAAAGCAGAGAGGGGCGGGCTGGGGCGGGGGTGGCGGGGAGAATCCAGCTAATGTGCATGAACCTCCACTTCTCCCAACTCTTCTGCTCCTCAGACCTTCTTCCCTCTCAAGAAAAACCTCCTCTACCGTACCGCTTCCACCTCTCGGGGGGTTCTGGCAGCACGCTCCCTAGGCTGAGGCTTCCAGTCAGCACAGGACTATTTCCAGACCCAGAGCCTCCTCAGGGCTTCAGAGCAGCCTGTCTGCCCAATAAGCCAGACCCAAGTCCAAGGCCAGTCGCTCCTCCGGGCCTCTGTCCCGCCCTCAGCCCAGGGCGCTCGGCCGAGGGAGCCCGGGCAGCGGGAGCCCCACAGCTCTGCTTCACCGGCCCTTTAGGATTAGGCGAGTCTTCCCGTCCCCGATGAAGAGCCTAGAAAAAAAAACAAGGCTCTATGAGGTGCTGGGGCTGGAGGAAAAACAGCCTTTCATTATCTATCTCCAGGCCCAACGCCCTCCAGAGAGGACTTCCGAGCTTTTCCAGCCTTGGGGTGGAGGAGACCGTTTCCTCCTGGGGTCCTGTCTTCCTTTAGGAAACGCGCGTTGCTGCCATCCCGAAAGCAGCAGACGGAGAAGGACGCGCAGTGCTTTAGAGCCACTGACCGGGTGACCCCTAGGCAGTACAAGCCGTCTAGATGGCGCAGCTCGGGGCCTGTCCCCTCCCAGAAGACACTTGGGAACCCCACTTGTGGTAACTCTAGACAGTGATCCCCGCACCACCCAGAACAAACAAACAGAGTATGAGGAGGAACCCAAGGGGTAAAGGTCAGGCAGGACGGACGGGCGTGTGTTTCTTCTCCCTGGAATGCACTGCTTCTTCTGATAATGCCCATCTTTTTTCTATCCGCTGCACAACTCCAGGGAGCACGGTCACACTGCTGTCGTGTGAGTGCCATCTCCTGACCTGGTGACCCTGGGGACCCCATTCACACGGTTCTCTGATTTGGATGCATCCCGAGGTTGCATAACCGCGATCTGAGAACTGCTCCTCCCCGGTTCCGTCCGATTCTCGGTTGTCCAGGTAAGCTGGTCTCACCGCTGCCCCAGGGGAGGGTGCGTGCTCCAGACAGCCTAGAAGGTCTCATACCCTCCTGGCCACAGTGATGGATTCATAGGTGGACGTAAGCTGAGTCAGGCCAGGCCAGGCCAGGGAGCACCAGCCACAGGACTTTGACTAGAACCGTTGTTCTGTTTCCCTTGGAATTGTTAAGCTGCTAGAGTGTAAGTATAGAGTGGACAGCAGGGGTCCATATCCCTACTAGAGAGTTGTGAGGGATGAAACCCACGGAGGAAGGCACCACCTATGAGGAAGCCCAGGTCCTAAGGGCTTTGACACCATCCCCAGCCGGTGCTCTCTGTGAGCTTCTCAGCTGTGGGAGCCGATGACTTCCCCTTAGGAGGCGGATTTCCGTCACTTCTAACCAAAGCTCCTAAAAAGACCCAGACTCTTTGCTTCTGAAGCAAGCTCTCTGTGTCCTTCTCCAAACCAAGGGAGAGCCCAGCCCTCACACGCTGGACTCCCTAAGAGCTGTCCCCGCGGGCCCACACGACACCTACCTAATGAGCAGTCCCACAAGCAGCCCAGCCAGGAGCGGCCCCAGCCAGTAGATCCAGTGGAATTTCCAGTAGCTGGCCACGACAGCAGGCCCAAAGGCACGAGCGGGGTTCATGCAGGCTCCAGAGACAGCGCCCCTGCAAAGAGCCAGCCACACAGTCACGAGGCTCCCAGCCTCCCCGCCCCCGGCTCACTCAGATCCACGTCCCCCCAGAGAGCTTCTTCTCTAAGCGCCTGTATCAAGGGCTCCTGGGAGGACCCAGCACAGGAAGGGCTCTTGGCCCTGAGAGGCCAAAGGCGCGTCTCTTCCTCGGACAAGGCCGTCCTTCTCCCACACCCTGACCAGCAGGCGTGCTTGCTCAGTGACGGCAGGAAGAGAGGAGGGGTCAGGTCTTCCTCCAACTCCTCAAAACACGCGAGCGGCTGTCACTTTGGAGTCGAGCTGACCGTATTCAGAGCCCGGCCCAGCTAGCTGTGGCTCTGCCATATTTGTGTCTCCACTGAGGTGAAAATATGCCTCCCACGGGCTGCTGTGAGGAGGGCGCTGAGCCGTGTAGATAGGACCCTCGCCTCCTACGTGGTCAATGCCCAGCACGCATGACCGCAATCTAGCTGGCCCAGACGAGGGCCTCGTTACGACGCACACTGGAGGCCCTGGAGCTCCTCCCAGGGACCATCTCCCGGGGCACGTCAACAGTTCTGCGCCTGCGTGCTTACCCCGTGTGCTCAGGCTAGCGTCCTGCAGACACCATCGCACCTGTGTCCAACAGCCAAAGTCAAAGGGACGGCTCAGCGGTCTTGTAAGTGAAACAAGTGCCGCTAGGGGGCAGCAAAGTATCGCCACAGCTTTGACCCGTGATTTCCCCAGCCCACCCTAGAGGACAGCTCTCAAAGGTGACAGTGGGCCCTGGAGGATGGCCAGACCCGGTTCTGTGTCCAAAAGAAGGGAAGGCGGTGGATATGAGGAAGAGAAGCCCACATCCCCTTCAGCACAAAGTGATGCCACTGCCCAATGACCTTAAATATCACTTCTGTCTGCTCTTGGCCTCAGTTTCCCCATCTCTAAAATGGGAGAGATAACCCCTTACCAAGAACCTGTCTCCTTAATGCCTTCCCAGGACTAGCAAAGGCTCAAAATAAATAAGACAGTGCGTGTGATCTTAGCCTACAAAAGTATTTCATTCACAGTACAAAAATTCTACACTGCACAAAAGCCTTTAATTGACCGAACTTCTGACCTGAATGAAATCAGAAGGGTCACCCAGGCCCACAATCTCACACACCCTAACTGCCTAGACCTGCCTGACTCCCAGCTCCCACCCCTCTCTGTAGCTGCCCAAAGTACCCACTTCCCCCATTTGCATCCACTTCCTGGGCCTCACTGGCGACCGCGCTGGGGGCCCTGAGGCCTGACCTCCTCGGTCCAGATCTGGGCCGCAGACCCACCGCCGAGAGACTCACCCTGCCAGGATGTCCACGGTCACGGAGAAGCCGATGGAGAAGGGGGCCAGGGGGCCCCGCGTCTTCTCGTTGATGGCGCCCATGCACACCGCCAGGGCCAGCAGCGTGGTGAAGACGATCTCCGCCCCCAGGGCCCGGCCCACCTGCTCGTCCTCCTGGACCGTCACAAAGGCCGCGCCAGAGGCATTCCAGAACCGCTCCTGGGGACTGACCGCCTGCAATGACAGCCGCTCCGCCTGAGCCCCAGACAGGGAGGGGCCGGGAGCTGAGCGGAGGCGCTATGCGTGCAGCCGCAGGCCTGGACGGTTCAGGGTCAACAGCCCAGCTCCACCTGTCTCTACCTGTGACGTCTACCAGACCTCTCCAAGGCTCAATTTGCTCATCTGAAAAATGGGGATTGCCCAGTAGTGGCTTGCATAAAGTTACGTAAGTTACATGAGCTTAGGTGAAGCTTATGTAACTGAGATGACTCAGAGAGGAAGACAATAAAAATATCTCACCCCTTGGAACTTTGCATATATGACCAGGTGAACACATCACTGGCCCAGTACGGGACCTCAGAAGGAGCTTGTGTGACGAGAGCCCTGAGGCTTAAACTGCACTTGCGGCAGGGGAGATCAGGCTCCCGTGAACACAGCTAGAGCAGAGCAAGCCAGGGAGCACGCAGGCTTCGGGTCTGCCACACACCAGCTGGTCTGGACTTGGGCAAGACGCTATGTCTCTGCGCCCGTTTCCCCGCCTGTGAAATGCCAGGCATGCTTGCACATACGTGTGACACTCTGGGAGACTAAGGCAGAAGGATCGGAAGATTAAGCTCAGCAAGGGCAAGTTAGCAACTTAGCAAGACCCTGTCTAAAAAACTAAAAAGTCACTCAGTGCAAAGGCCCTGAGTTCAATCTCAGTCACACACACACACACACACACACACACACACACACACAGTGAAGCTGGTGACAGCTGCAAACTCCTACAGAAGACCTTGGCATTCCTGGCACATAAGAAATGCCCGCTAAGGACTGACTGTTCAAGTGGAGATTGGGCATGGACGGAGGGTGTCCCCATCAGCACATCTGACAGGCTTCCCGGAGGGCACAGGGGCCTGGGTGGGTAGGAGGAGTCAGGTCAAGGAGGACCACACAGCGGGTTTGAGACCGAAGTCTGCCAGGCCAGCACTCAGCCTTAGACCAAACGCTAGCCAGGCGAACGGGGCTTCCCCACCCTCCCCAGACCCCGCAGGGGTGCCGAACAAGGCTCTGTCTTCAAAGGACCCGGATTGAGCTGAGACTTAAGGGCAAAAGCAAGAGAAAAGAAACAAGAGAAAGGAAGGAATGAAGGGAGAAAAAGAATAGAGACAAGGAGAAGAGAGACCCACCCATAAAGTTATGCATGGAGCTATGAAAACTCCGCAACTTGGAAGAGCCAGCTTTCTTGCTGGGTGGGAGGGCTCTGAGCATAAATTGAGCAGCTGCTCCCCAGGGAGGTGATTCAGTGTAAAGGCAAGCAGAGGAGCTGATTCGTCACCTTTCAGGGAGAATCACCAGGCTCGCATGGTGCCCGCAGCCAGTGCTTCGGCAGACACTTGCAGAGCGAATGAACAAATGACTTGGGGAGTGAGGAGACATGAGAATTAGCCACACCTACTCCGAAGCCAGAAACGGGCTCAGGAAGAGAAACGCCCAGCCTGGACTTGCTTCCTGGCCCCTCCAGAAGAGGGCTATGTCCAGACATGGGTGAAAAAGGATAGTTTTGGGGAGGACCAAAGACCCCCGGCCCCAGAAGAAAAGGGCCACCCAATTCTACTGGCGACAAAAAGAGAAGTCAAATATTGGCCCACATGCCTCCACTCTGCACACCTCCAGCTCCGCCGAAGCAAAACCACTAGCCCTGCCCCTGCGGGATCACCCACCTTGGCCAAGGCAGCCCCAATCATCCCCCCACACAGCTGCGAGATCCAGTAGGGCAGGAGCATCGTCACGTTGAGGCCTCCGATCAGCATGGCTGCCAGTGACACTGCAGGATTGAAGTGGCCGCCGCTGTAGCAGAACAGAGCGGAAGGAAGGCATGAGGCCAGGGGCCAGGGTTGCGCAAGACTGACAGAACGCACCCAGCTGCCCCCCCAGGTCCCCGGCCTGAGGTGTCAGACAGCGGGCAAAGGGTACGGGGGCAGAGCCGGGGAAGGCAGGCGCAGCTCCGGAGCCCAGAGCCCAGGGTGGCCCTGGAGGAAAGGCGTGTTGGCGGACCACCCCTGATCTCCTCCCAGAGCGCTTCAGCTCCCTGGCTCTTCGGAGAGGTGGCCACAGGTCACGGTGAGGCCGAGCCGGCCCCACATCAGCGGGGCTCTCACGGCCTGGTCGTGTGACTCGCCAGGTCCTGCCTGAGAGCCCCTGATTACTGGCACTGCTGTGGGAGGAGGGTAATACCGGGCGCAGGCGTTCCCGATGGAAACGACCCTGGAGCTCAGGGGCAGGGCTGGAGCTCACGGGCAGGCTGGGCAGGGAACGGCAGTCCGCAGTGGGTGGCGGACAGGCAAGTCAGAGCCCAGGGCCGAAGGCAAGGCCGCTCGTGGGTGAAGAAACCTGCGCCTCACCAAGACCCTCGACCTGCTCCGGCCCGGCCCTCCTCCCTCCCACCTCCTCAGGGCCGCTGCGGCTGCCTTTCTCACGAAGGAGCTGTCCCCAGAGGCTGCTCCCTTAAGTCCCTGCTTCCCAAGAATGGGTATCTCTAAGGGGGAAATGACCCCGAGACTCTGCAGCATGACCTCTATCTGACAGGCCGTTGCCGAGGCTGATGGACGAACGCAGGCACCGTGCGCGGCACTGTACAGTTAGCACTCGGTAAGAGTTCACACTCACACCGCGGCGCAGCGGCCCGGACACTTGCCGCGATCACCCCGCTAAGCGGCGGCGAACGCTGCACCCAGTCCCACACCCGCCTGAGCGGGAGATCCTGCGCTTTGCATCCCACTCACAGCCTCCCGCGGGCATTTAGAGAGACGGTAAAGTTTTCTTCTTTCTGATTTCCTCCGGAACAATGTTTCAATTTCCTTGCTCAGGGCCACTGGTCTAAGGAGACTAAACACAGACCAGGCAAGTCCCCGCTCACCCTGCCAGGGGCTTTGTGCAAGGTGTGAGACTGACCCACACACGGTGAATGGTGAAAGTTTTACAGATTTATTACAGTGAAAGACACACTGCCATGACCCCCCTCACAGTACTTCCCCTCTCTTCAGACACACACCCCCCTCTGTCCTGCCGCTCTGTGACGCAGTTCTGGACGTCCTCTTCCAGGGCGTCTGTAGTTGCCCTGTTACGCCTGGCCCCCGTCCTGACTTGATTCAGAACGTTTGCCATTCATGGTCATTTTCATTCTGGGGACGCGTCAGAAGTCCCCTGGGGCCAGATCCAGGGGATAGCGGGATGAGGACGCGCCACGCCACTTTCACAAAGCTGGCTCTCTTCGGATGGCGCTTAGAGCGGCACTCACCATACCTTTTCTTATCACCAGGTAAAGGCTCCTGAAAGAGGACCCCCAGAACTGCTTCAGAAAGGGTCAAGAGCGATGGGATGAGTGCGTCAAAGCAAGGAGGAGTATTTTGAGGGGGGTTCATGGCAATGTGTCCTTTCCGGTAAAAGTTTTCTGATCACACCAGTGTCTGTTTAATAACTAGGGTCCTGACAACGGTCCCACACACACACCTTCCCAGCCCTCCCCACTGAGCACCCACCCAGAGGAGAGCAAGGCCAAAGGGGCACCTCCCCTGCCTGCTCCTCCGCTGCGCATGACCCTTGGCGGCCCCGGGGGCCCCCGCAGGCGCCCGCACACCCAAGCAGAAGCGCATCGCGGCTTCCCCTGCACAGCCGCAGCAGCGGCAGAGCGGCGGAGGCTGAGGGCGTGGCGTGTGCCGCGTCCTTCGCAGCCCTTCCTTCTGTGTCCTCCTGCAGGTGCTCTGGTTGGAGCTCTGCAGCCAGAGGGCTTGGTCTCCACTCCTGGCTCTGTCACTCTGCACCGTTGGACAAGTGACGCTGCCTTTCTCTTTCCGTGGGAGAAACGGTGACCCCGCAAGACTGCACAAGGAGCAGTGATCAGTCTCTGAGAAGTGCGTAGAATACTGCCCGGCACAAGGTTAGTGATCAGTGTGTGCTGGCATGAAAAAAACAATTGAAGAAATACAGCCTTACTCCCACCTAGTGGGGGGGGCCGTTCGAGTTTGGAGAGGGACCTGTGCAAGGCTGCGGGGCTGGGAGGCGACCCCAGGCCGTCTGACCTCCACCCACCGCGCGCCTTGCCACACCGAGTGGGCCCAGGGTCCCTGCCAACGGCGGTGCCCCCATCTGGGCACCAGGCTGCGTGCGGGCAGCTGGTCTCACCTGATGTTCCCCAGCGTGGCGATGACGAGCCCCAAGGCCAGTCCGTGGGCCAGGGCCGGCTGCAGCACCCCGGTGTCTGGGCCATTCTCGATGACGGACAGGCAGCCGATGAAGATGAACAGGGCCGAGCCCAGCAGCTCGACCAGGCAGGGCTGCACAAAGCGCTCGTACCAGGACGCGCGAAACCGGCCCCCCACGCCCGGCTCCTTGGCCTTACCGCTGCCACGTTGTATGTCACACATAGACGGCTGCAGGGGGCAAGGGAGGAGTGAGAGGGGGCCGGACAGAAGCCCGCAGCCCGTTCCGGGCTGGAGCTCCAGTCCACGCTGGGAGCACAAGCGCCACCGTAGCTCACCTCTCCGGGCATCAGGGTAAAGAGGCTCGGGGCTTGGGCTCCCGCCAGGGCTGCTGGGAATCGGCCTGCTGTCCTGCACACTGGCCTGAGGCACACAGACCCGGATCCCGCTACAGGCTCTGCCCCTTTTAAAGTGACCAGGAGCTTCGTGAAGGTGTTGGGAAAACAATAAAGCCTGGGAGGAGGCGCCCTGCATCCAGGAGAGGAAGCAATCTCAGCCGCGCTGGGCGGGGCGAGGGTGGGGGCGGTCAAGGGTTGCTGGGCTTCCTGCCAGGGAAGGGGAAGGCACTGGCTTTCTTCATCCCCTGGGCCGAGGGGATGGACACAGCTCCCTGGAGAGCAAAGGTGACAAGTATCTATGCACAGGCATGAGTGGGGCTCTCTGGGGGAAGCTGCTCACGTGGAAGCTTAGCTGGGCAGAGTGGCACAGGCCTATAATCTCAGCACTTCGGGAAGCCGGGGCAGGAGAGTCCCAAGGTCAGGCCCAGCCTGACCAACTTAGTGACTTAGTGAGACCCTGTCTCAGAAATAGACAAACAAATAACAACGAGTTGGGGATAGAGTGTGGAGGCCACGGGTTCAGTCCCCAGTACTGCAAGCAAATACACACATACATACGTACATGCACGCACGCATACATACATAGCAAACTCATCCTCGGTCATTCCCCACAGTTCCCACAGACATCCCCTCCTGTCTGAGGCCTGGCCACCTGTGCTCACCCACATGGCCTGGGCCAGGACCGAGCGTGCAGACGGTGATCCCCCACAGCAGAAATAACAGAGGTGAAGTGGGGGCGGGCAGCATTGTGTTTGCCCCAGTACTGGGGATAAAACCCAGGGTTTTGAGCATGTCGGTTAGGCGCTTAACCACTAACCACTTCCGCCTGGATTGAACTCCCAGCTCTGGCGTGAAGTACACGTGCAGCCTTGCGGATGGTACTTACCCGCTCTGCACCCGCTTTTCTCCTCTGTGAACCCATCCCAGAGTCCCTATCAGTTTTAAAAGAGTTAGGTGCTCGAGACGATGCCAGACACATGACAAGCACAAGGCTGGTGTCCGTGCCTTTAGAATACACCGATAAAAATGGTGTATAAATACTGGTGTCCGTTAATTTAGAATATGCAGTTAGATGTCATTAATATTCACTGAGCACAATAAATATTCAGTGTGCCTGGCCCGAGGCTAAGGCTTGTATGTATTATTTTATTTTAACCCCACAACAACACTGTGAGGTGGGAACTTTTTATAGCCATTTTACACACGAGAAAGTAGAGTTTCAGGAAGATTGACTTTCTCAGCATCACACAGCTTATGTGATTATAAAACTTGTGAGCTGTCACAAAAGGGCACTGTGATCCACTTACAGGATGCACCCACAGTAACCTAATTTACAGGTACAAAGGGCTGAATGCGGCTCGCCAGCCTGGAGGTAAGGCAGGATGAGGGATGGGAGGTTCTGAGTTTCAGTTTGGGAAAATCAAAGTGCTCTGGAGCTGGGTGACAGAGACCAATGCAAAAGAGCATGAATCCACGTAACACCACCAAACAGTACATGGGAAAGTGTGAAAATAGTCAACTATGTTACATATATTTTACCATTACTGGACAAAAAATACTTGTAGGCTAG